CGCCACCGGCCCGTCGGAGAAGGCGGCATGGGAGGTTGCCCACAGCCTGCAGCTGGCACTGGGCTCGGCCACAACCTCACGCTCCCCCACAAGCTCCAAGAGGCTCCCAAGAGGCCCAAAGCAGGCCCCAAGAGGCCGAACACGAGAGGCTCGCGGGAGGCCTCCCAAGAGAACCCCACAGGCATCCCGGAGGCCTCTGACCTACAGCTCAAACATGGTGGCGGGAAGGGCCGACGGCCACCAGATTCGCCGCCACCGTGTGGCTGGCCGCAGAGGTGCACGGTGCACGGCGTGCTGTCTTTTTGTGATGGGCTGCTCTTTTGTAGCTCACCGTGGGGCCTCGGCCCAGCGCGCCAGCCACCCAGAAAGCCCAGGAGTGCGCAGAGTCCGTCGGCTTTCCCCGTCTAAAATGGCCCCGGGATGGCCTCCAAGAGCGACCAATGTGCCCTCTAAGGCGGCCAATCTGGCCCCAAGGAAGCACAATATTGCGGCCAGATGTATTCAAGACGGCGCATGATGCATTCAAGACGGCCTCAGATGGCCTCCAGACGGCCCGAAAGGCCTCCAAGAGGCTTACAAGATGGCCCAAAAGGTCTTCAAGAGGGCCTCCAGAATATCCGCAGAGCACAAGTCGTCATGTCACACATCATGCACACGGGTGAGGGGAGACACAGGGGAGCGCGGCGGTGCGGCAGAAGCCACTGACGAACCGACGGCGTCGCCAAGCTATCATGGTAGGCGTGGCGCTACGTGGGGAAGACGCCGACAACATGACCTGGTACTGCGGGACAGCCGCACCAGGTGACCCAATGCCATCACATTGGCTCGGCGCTACCCCGCACTGGTAACAGGCTGGATCAACCACCAGTGCCACAGGGGCACAAGAAACCAGAACCACCATGGTAACGGATCAAACCTGGCTCACCATGGTAACCGACACTGGCCCTGTGCCGCCCAAGGTGCCTCGCACATGTGGTCCCTGGGCAGTCCACGTACCGCAGAGGAGGACCCCGCCCAAACACCAGGTGGGCTGGTTCGTAGTCCCGCACGCCTTGCCGCCCAAATGTCGCTCCAGGGTGGGACGCGGAGGGAGCTGGAACCAGCAGCGCTTGAGCCAGACCAGGCACGGAGTGCGGGAGGGTGCGCGGAAAGAGAATCGCCGAGAGGACGTGTCGCTATGAGTGTTGATCGAAAGGGGTCAAGGGCACTATGACTGCCAGGGGGGTCATGGCCATCAGGCGGCAGCACCATGACCGCGAGGGGGGCCATGGTCACCAAGCCCCGCCGAAGCCTCCATCATCCCGTAACCCCCGATCGGGAGGGGCCGAGAGCACCATGACCGCGAAGGAGGTCATGGCCAACCAGCGTCGGCATCATTGCGGGCAAGATTCATGTCCATATCCAGTGCCTCTTGGACTTGTTTGGAAGCGGCGCCACAAGGCCGAGGCGCACTGGATAAGGATAAAAATCGAGCCTCTAGGGGGGCAAATCTATCCATATCCAGTGTGCCTCGGGCTTCCTAGGAAGGGAGCCCGAAACTCCATACTGCAGTGGATATGGACAGAAGTAATGCCCGCAAACATGACCGCGGGGGGGGGTCATGGTCACCAAGCCCCGCTGAAGCTCGCCTCACACCGTACAGTCGGGGCCTTGACCTAAGGAACCCAAACTAAGGAACGAGGCCCCTTTTTTTCCATAAGTTAAACTTCGATTTCCGATCGAAAACATAAGGAAACCCTGAGGCAAGCTGCGAAACACTGAAGGAACGCGGAGCCCCTCCCCAACGAAAAGAGTTCCTTCTTCAGGGCCCCGACTGTACCCCCCCGCCTGTTCAGCGTGCAGCGGCCACTGGGCCCCCCTGCCTGCAGTGGCCCACCCTCCCCGTGGGAAGCGGCGGGGCGCATCCGCAGGACGTGTGCGCGCCGCCCTGTGGCGACGCGCAAGTTGCACGAGTGCGTTCTCGCCAAAATAGAGGCCTCCTAGATGGGGTCGGAGTAGATGGGGTCGGAGGACCGAGCAGCATCGCCGATACATCGGCGATGCATCGGCGATGCACCGGCGATGCACCGGCGATGAGGCGTCGACGTCGGCGATGTATCAACGACGTCGGCATGGGGAAAATCGGGCTCCGCATCGAGCCGCATCGTCGATGCATCGGCGATGCGGCGCGATCCTCCGACCCCATCTACTCGGGCCCCATCTAGGAGGCCTAGACAAAAACATTGAGTTTCGCTGGGTTTTAAAATATGTGGACATTTGCTTCAACCTGGCCGTCCGGCCGCCAAAGATGGCCCACAAGGCCCCCAAGATTTCCGCAGGATCACCCAAGAGGCCGCCAATATGGCCCCAGGACGGCCCAAGAGTCTCACAGAACAGCCCCCAAAGTGCCCCAAGACGGCCCAAGAGGTCACCAAGGCGCCTCCGATGGCCTTCAAGACGACCCTGAAGCGCCCCTCAAGAGGGCCCCTAGACGGCCCAGAGAGGCTCCGAAAACGGCTTCCGACGCCGTCAGACGGGCCAAGAACGCCGTAAGACTGCCAAATAGGCACACAAGAAGCCCCCAGAGGCCCCCAAGAGATCCAAGGAGGCCCCCGAGAGGCCCCCCCCCAGGAGGCCCCAGGGAAGCTCCCAGGAGGCCCCAAGAATGATCCAAGAAACTCCCAAGAGGTCTCCTCATCCTTCTCGTCATCTTCATGTGTCCTCCCTCTCCGTTTCCTCCAAATTATGCCTCCCCGACGCGTTCCCAGAAGAGCTTCCACCATGGCTGGGGAAACGCATGGCCCAATAGCGTGGCCAAACGCTGCCTAAACGTTTGGCCACATAAGCGAATCCTAAAATGCAGGGGGACGACGGTGATTCGCTGTATGCTTATTCGATCTACTGTGGCTTGCCACAGGGGTGCACGGCGTGCCAACTATTAGTTAGTTCGCGGTTCTATAGAAATTTCAAAAGCATCCGGTCCAAACTGCAGCCAAACCGTAAGGACGCGTAAAATAAAGAAACTCGTCTCCACGGCCTCCAATGTGTCCCCAAGACGGCTAGGATAGCCCCAAGGGGGCCCAAATGGTCCCAATATGCTTCCCAGACGGCCAAGATAGCCCCAAGATGTCCTCCAGACGGCCCACGGGGTCCCTCAGACGACCTGAGCGGCCTCAAGAGGACCTAGAGGAGGCCCAAATCATGGATGCTCCTCCGGTTGTTCACTGAGTTTGGCGTTCTCGCCCTTTCAAGCGTCCTACGCCCCAAGACGGGCTCATAGGCCCCTAAGATCGAACCAACCCAAGGGGCCTCCAAGAGGCTCGCAAGACGGTCCACGAGGGCCCCAAGATAGCCCAAGAGACCCCCAAGACGGCCCAAGGCGGCCCCAGAGACATCCAAGAAAGCCCAGAGTGGCCAATGAGGGACACAAGACTGCCCAGGGAGAGCCCAAGACTGCCTCCGAAGGCTGAGAGGCCGCTTAGACGCCCCAACAGGACGACCTCCAGGAGGCGACGATTGATCGCGCGTAGCTGTTGCATGATTTTAGCGTTCTCGCCTTTTCGGGTTCCCGACGCTCCAAGACGAGCCCATATGCCCCTAAGATCGCCCCAAGACGGCTCAAGAGACCTCCAAGAGGCCCGCAAGACAGCCCAAGAGGGCCCCAAGACAGTCCCAAAGGCCCCCAAGACGACCCCAAAGTATCCCTGAAGACCTCCAGGACGGCCCTCAAGGGGCCAAAGGAGAGGCCCAGGATTGCCCCGGTAGGGCCCAAGACTGCCCCTGACGGCCAAGAGGCTCGTGAGACGCCCCAAGAGGGCTCCAGGAGGACCTCCAGGAGACCAACATTATTGATGCTGCGTGCTTGCTTCAATGCATTTAACGTGCTGGCCTTTTCGGGCTCCCGACGCTCCAAGACAGGCGCATAGGCCTCCACGATCACCCCACGACAACCCAAGCGGCCTCCAAGAGGCCCGCACGACTGCCCAAGAGGGCCCCGAGGCGGTCCAAGAGGCCCCCAACCCACAGATCCGATGTCTTGATTTTTGCAATACGGGATCCCCAACAGTCTCCACCCATTCACCAAAACCGGTTTTGCATCCTGAACCGTTTTTTGACGGTCCCGCGGCCTGGGGAGGGCCTCTAGAGGCCGAAAACTGAAAAACAAAAAAAAACCTCCGTCTTGATTTTTCCAATGCGTTGGATCTCTGGGAAGGCGGCCCCAAGAAGGCACCAGGGACCTGCAGGGCGGCCCTAAAGCGGGTTCCAAGACGGCCTCCGAAGGCCAAGAGATCCCAGAGGGGGTCCGCAGAGGGCCCTCCCCAAGAGGCCCCAGAAGGAGAGCCCCAAGAGGCCCCAGGAGGTCCCCAAGAGGCCTCTCAGAGCCCCCCCAAAAAAAGCTCCCAGGAAGCCTCCAAGTGGCATGAAGAGGGCGTCAAGAGGCCCCCTCTTCTTCCTCCCCCTTCCTTCCTCCTCCCTCTCCTCCTCCTGCCGCTTCTTCTTCTTCTTCTTCTTCTTCCCAGCGTTCCCCCAAGGGGGTCCACAACGTCTGGGGGAACACGTAGTCCAATAGATTGGCCAGACTTCGGCACAACGTTTCGCTGCAGAGGCAGGGGGCGGCGGTGACTCGTCGTAGGCGTCCTAGATTAAGAAATCGCAAATTTCAAATTTCATTGTCGAGGTTGAGAATTAAGCTGCTCCCATCGTACTTAAGGACCAGATCCCAAACATAATTTCAAGCACCCAGAGAAATACCGAAACAGTGTTGATCGAGTAGCGCCTCCCAGGGCCCGCCAAATGAAAACCCTCCAGTTTCGATACATTCTTGGTGATCGGAATCTTTCTGGTGATCACGGCTAAAGTAGGTTGGAGCATCCTAAGTCGAGAATGCATTCGGAGACTCTGAGCCTCCAGGGCGATCGGGGACAACGGGCAAGCTGCCAAAAGAACGCGGCAGAGAGCTGCAGGGCAGAGAACGCAGCAAGACTTGACTGCCAGGCGCGTCGGCATCGGCGGGGCGTCTCCTTCGTTGTGCGGACCTGGCTGTCCATCTCCTCCTGGTCAGCGCCAGTGTCTGGCAGATGCTGGGTTTCCTGGGCTGGGAAGAAGGGAGGACGGGGAGGAGATGGAAGGGGAGCGCGGATGAAGACGGAGGTGCGGGGGAAGAGGGAAGGGGAAGAGAGGAAGGGAGGAAGGAGGGGAGGGAGAAAGGATGGAGGAAAATGACAAATTGGTGGGCGGGGGGGAGGCGAGTGAGGGTGATGACCGCGATAGGTCTTTGGTACCCCCCCCCTTGTGAACACATAATTCTTGTTCGGGCACCAATTGAAGGCTGCCGATACCCAACAACAGTTGACAAACAAGTATCCCACCGCCGCGGCCGTCGACACTTTCAAGGAGGAAAGAGGAGGAGGAGGAAGAGGAGGAGGGACAGGGCGAACCGGGAGACGCGCGGATGCCATTGCCGGCACAGAGTTTCGGGGGGTGGCTGGCAAGGAGAGGAGAGAGAAGGGATGAAGGAGGGAAGAGAAAGGACGGATGAGAGAGAAGAGAGGCCAGCTTGGTGCGCTCGCGCCAAACCTGACACTCAGCATCCTGCCCTATGCGGCCCATCCCTTTGAATTGCGCTGAATCCCCTTCAATCCGCCGAGCGGGGGCCGCCCAGAGTACCTGGGCCCGGAAGTGACCTCGCTCGGGCGGCCGCAAGGTCGGGGGCGTCCAAGAAGGGGGGCGTCCAAGAGGGAGGGGGGGCAAATCATGGCCGGCGGCATGTGCGCGGCCCAGGGGTGGGGGCCGGGGCCGCGTTGAAATCCGCCGATCCGGCGTGTGAGTTTCTGAGAGCGTGGGCTTGAGCTCGTTCAAGCTTCGCTCTGCGGGGGGGGGGATGTTCAGGCCCGGGAAAGGGAGGGGGGCGGGGAGCGCGCTCAAGCTTCGCTCTGTCGGGGGCCCGGGGCTGACGCCATAGCTGACGCCATTCAGGCCCCGGAGGGAGGAGCGGGGGGAGGGGGGGGGGGACGCCATGGCTGACGCCATTCAGGCCCGGGAGGAGGGAGTCGGGGGGAGGGGGGGGATCTGACGCCATGGCTGACGCCATTCAGGCCCGGGGAGGGGGAGGGGGGGGGGGCTCGCTCAAGCTTCGCTCCGTCGGGGGAGGGGGGGGGTGCTGACGCCATGGCTGACGCCATTCAGGCCCAGGAGGGGCGAGGGGAAGGGGGAGATTCAGGCCCGGGAGGAGGGAGGAGGGGGTGGGGGAGGGGGCTGACGCCATGGCTGACGCCATTCAGACCCGGGAAGGGGGAGGGGGGTGGTGGAGCTCGCTCAAGCTTTGCTCTGCAGGGGGGGGGGGGACTCCATTCCCGACGCCATTCAGTGCTCGGCAGCCAGGGGGGGAGGGTTCGCTCTGCAAGGGGGGGGGGGAGGACGAGTGCTCGGGAGCCGGGGGGGGTTCGCCCTGCAAAGGGGGGGACGGAGCTCGGGAGCCGGGGGTAGGTTCGCTCTGCAGGGGGGGGGATGCCATTCCCGACGCCATTCAGCGCTCGGGAGCCAGGAGGGGGGAGAGTTCGCTCTGCAAGGGAGGGGGTGGACGAGTGCTCGGGAGCGGGGGGGGTTCGCTTTGCATGGGGGGAGGAGGGGACGCCATTCCCGACGCCATTCAGTGCTCGGGAGCCGTGGGGGGAGGATTCGCTCTGCAAGGGGGGGGGACGCCATTCCCGGCGCCATGCAGTGCTCGGGGGCGGGGGGGCTTCGCTTCCGACGGTCCCAGAGGCCCCCGAGACTGCGTCAACACGGCTCAAGAGGCTCCCAAGACGAGACCAAAACGGCCAAAGAGGGCGCCATCCGCTTCCTCCTTCTCCTCCTCCGCCTCCTCGTCCTCGTCCTCCTCCTCCTCCTCCTCCTCCTCCTCCTCCTCCTCCTCCTCCTCCTCCTCCTCCTCCCTCCTCATGATCCTTCCTTTCTGCTCCTCCTCCTACACCTCTCCCCTCCCCACCCCTCCTCCTTCATCCCTCCTCCTTCGTCCTCCCTCCTCCATCCTCTTCCTTCCGCCTCGCAGAAGCCAAACACAGACCCAGGACGGCCCCTTATTAGCTCTACAAGATGAGGAGACGGAAGACGCAGCATATGATGGCCTATCTCTTCCTCCTCATCATCTTCATCATAAACGTCGCCATGAGCATCCCATCCACAATCACCATGGTCAACGTCATCATCATCATCATCATCATCATCATCATCATCATCATCATCATCATCATCGTCATCATCATCAACATCATCATCCACATCAGCATCAGCGTCAGCATCATCATCAGCATCAGCATCATCATCACCAGCATCATCATCAACAGCAGCATCATCATCATAATCATCATCATCATTATCAGTATCACCACCATCATCATCATCATCATCAGCAGCATCATCATCATCAGCAGCAACATCACAATCATCATCGCCGCCCTCACCAACTGCATCATCCTTAACACCCAGAGAATTCACATAATCAACATCAACACCAACACCATCATTATTATCAGCATCATTGTGGGCACACCGCTATCATCGTCACAACTACCATCACCATCACCCGCATCACAATCCTGATTCTCGTCGTCGTCGTTACCATCTTTATGCTCTTTACCATGTAGTTTACCATGATAGACATTATCCAAATCGTCATCAGCATCAGCAACATCACCACCACCACCACCATCATCATTATCATCATCATCATCATCATCAGCAGCATCAGCATCAGCATCAGCATCAGCATCAGCATCAGCATCAGCATCAGCATCAGCATCAGCATCAGCATCAGCATCAGCATCAGCATCATTATCATCATCATCATCATCATCATCATCATCATCATCATCATCATCATCATCATCATCATCATCATCATCATCATCATCATCATCATCCGGAGCGCCTGGGTCGGCGGCACTGGCCGGAGGCAAGCACGATAAGAAGAGGCGCCATGCATTCTGGGGAGACATCATGGCCCCCGTCATGATATCCCCTCCCCCCCTAGTCATCACCCCCCTCTTTGCCGCCCCCGACAAGGGCGTCTCACTGGACCGCCGGGCCGCTCGTCGGCAAGTGGCGGCGCCGCACGGCCGATCTGGTGATGGAGCCGCGGCGCGGCCACGTCGGCTCCGCTGGCACCGGCTGCCAGGCGATCCACCCCTTATCCATGCCCCCGCTCGCGCCCCGACCACACGAGATGTTGGCCTGGGGGACAAGGCGACAGCATTGAAGCCCCCGCTCGCGCCCCGACCACACGAGATGTTGGCCTGGGGGACAAGGCGACGGCATTGAAACACAACGGCCAAGGCCGCTGGAGGGAGAAGACAAGAAGGGAGAGGGGAGGCGAGCAAGCACACGACGACAACGAGGGGAGAGGAGAAAGAGAAGGAGCGGGAGGCGCCGAACGCTCCGCGCCCCGACCACGCGAGACCCCCAAACCCGGTGGTGAGATGTCAGGTGGTGACCTGGAGAATGCCCCAAAGAGTCACTGCCGGGTTCTGGGACACAGGGTCACCGCCGGGCTTGGGGACTCCTGGGCCCACCAGCCTTCGGGACATCCTCGGAAAGCCACACGAGTCCCCCCCAAACCGAGTGGTGACACCAAATCGCCCGAGACTCACTGCCGGATGCTGTCCCCACCACGCCTGGGGACTAGCATTCGGTCGGGCACGTCCTCCTACAGGGCGAATGTGGACGAAAACGAAACAAATACTCCAAACAGGCAAAAAGGGTCGAACAATGATAGAACCATCGCCCCCAGACGATTCTCAAACCCTTTCTGAATCTTCCTCCTGCAGAGAGGCGCGCCCGACTTATAAGACTGGTGCCTGGCAAGAGGAAACGGCCGGTCGTGCAAGGGAGAAGGCAACATGAAATATTTATTCCAAACAAGCAGACATGGTCAAACAATGAACGAAACATCGCCCCCAGACGATTCTCAAACCCTTTGTGGATCTTCCTCCTGCAGAGAGACACGCCCGACACGGGGCCGGGGCCGCAGGCGGGCCTGCGAGGTGGAGAGAGGGGGCGGCGCCAGGCGGGAGCACGGCCGCCGGGGGCCGCGAACGAGCCCAGGTCGTCAGAAGCGGCGCAGGAGTCCCTCCTCCCTCCTCCTGCTCCCTCCTCCTCAAACCCTTTGTGAAGCTTCCTCCTGCAGGGAGGCACGCCCGCCTGAAGACTGGTGCCTGGCAAGGGAGAGGAGACGGCCGGGGGGGGGGCGGCGGCGCGGCGGCGGCCGCCGGGGGGGCGGCGGCGCGGCTCCGCGAGGGTGGCCCGCGGGGCCCGCGCCGGGCCCATCGGGAGCGGCCAGGAGGGGGGACACACAAATAAATACATACAAATAAAAGGATGCCCCATATTTTCCCATATTTTCCGGGTTTTTGTCTTCCCCCCCACTTCCAATATTTTCCTATATTTTCTGAGGAATCGAGGATTAATTGTGACTGTGTTTTTCCCTCTCCTGACAAGAGGGGGGTGTCCAAGAAGGGGGGGTGCAAATCATGACCGGCGGCACGTGCGCGGCCAAGCGGGGGGGCCAGGGACGTCATGAGACAAGAGGAGGCGCCGTGAGATCTGGGGGAAATAGCACGGGCCCCGCCATGATATCCCCCCCCCCTAGTCATCACCCTCCTCTTTGCCGCCCCCGAACCCAGGACGGTCCAGGTCGGGCGCGTCCCTCTGCAGTTGGGTCAGGCCGGTCCCCCAGAGGAGGGCTTGAAGCGACAAAAGAGAAAAAGAAGAGTCCAACAATCTCAAACATTGTCAAACAAATCGTTCCCTCAGCATTGATTTACTATTTTCGAATGTTCCTCCTGTAGAGGGAGAGGCCCGACTGGACTCTACAGGGGGGGATATTCCGAAATTTTCTGAACAAATGGTCCGGGACGATGTTTTCAGTATCTCCGGCGATGCTTGAGCTTTGAAGAAAATCAAAACATGCAAGATCCGCCTGTAGGAGGACATGCCCGACCGAAAGGAAGGTGGCGTGTGCATGGCGGGCGGAGCCGTGGAGGTCCCCCAAGCTCGGTGGCGAGCGAGGGGGGGAAGTTAGAAGGAGAAGGCCCTGTCAGAGCCCGCGCGCCTTCTGATAGGGGGCCACATGCGAACCCTACCCTTGCCCCCCACGATTTCTGAGGGGGAGGGTGGGGTTCACTTCGTTTAAGAGCTCCCGAGCGAGGTGAACCCCACCCTCCCCCTCAGAAATCGTGGGGGGTAGGGGTAGGGTTCGCATGTGGCCCCCTATCTGAGGAGATCTCTGCGTCTTCGGGGAAGGCTCTCAGGAAACTTCTCAGAAGGCCGGGGGACTTCCGAGCCTTCCCCTTCTCCTTCTCACTTCCCCCCCCGCTCGCCGCCGAGACTAGGAAGGCAGCATGTGCATGTCGGGCGAAGCCCTGGAGGTACCCAATCACCAGCGATGAGGGGAAGACCACTGAGATTGGCAACCACTCGCAGAAGAGGGTGGCCACCCAGCAGAGCAGCCAGCAGCAGGGGGACGGTGCCGCTAATGTCGCGAAGAAGGCGTGATCCACGGTGCAGGCCCTCTAGGAGCCGCTGGCTGACGCGGAGCAGGCCTTCCAGAAGGCATCGGCGCACGCCTACGACTTGGTGGACGGGGACGTGAACGAGCTAGCTCGAGATCGGGCAGCCTTGTTCGAGGAAGGCGACGGGAAGGTTGGCAGGCTCTGGGCCGCAATTCGGCCGTCATCAAGATTTCGCAGGAATTCTCCTCCCTCCTCCATCCTCCGTCACCCCTCCTCCATCCCGGCTGGCGTCCTGTGCAGGCTGGCCACCTCCCTCCCAGCCCCTCCCCATCTCTCCCTCACGCCTCCCAACGCCCCCCTTCCCATCCCCGCCCCTCCCCTCCTCCTTCTTCCCCCGAGGACGCCAGTGACGCGGGTACCGACGCCGACGCCGCCGCCGCCGCCGACATCGAAGAAAACGACGACGACGACGACGACGACGACGACGACGACGACGACGACGACGACGACGACGACGACGGCCGCCCACGGCGCTTCCTGCGCGGCTGGGTGCGGCGACAGCGGCAGCGACCGCGAGCAGACGGCGCCCACCCAGTGCTCGGCGCCCTGCCCCAGGACGGGCACGCCGGAGGCGCCTGGTCGCGGCGGCGGCGGCTGCGGCGCGTTCGCTCGTGGGGCCCCGCGGGTGGATGGGTGGACCACCTGTGCGGGAGGGATCCCTACTCAGGTGAGCGCAGCTTGCGCTCAGCATAAGCTCTCGATCCGCGTTGCGGCACACTCCGCGCGCGCCAGCGATGCTGCGGCGCGATGCCCCCACAGCCTGCGAGCGGGCCTCCTGGGGCAAGCCCCAGGGGCCCCATTGGGTCAGGGAGACTTCGGCGGCAACTCCTGCGAGCCTCCCGTCCCATGTCGTTGGCTCTTGCGAGTCGGCGCCAGTCGACGCTGGTGACGTGCTAGACTGTGGACCCCTCCCAGCCCATCGCTCGTGGGCCGCCGTCATCGGCGGTCTTCGGCGTCGTCGTTCGGTCTTCGGCGGTTTCTGGCGGCTCCCAGCGGCCGTCGGTGCGCAAGCTGGATGGTTGCATTCAACAAGGGGCCCATGATCGAATGCCCAACGACTGCAATGACGGGGGGGGGGGCGGGGGCGGAAGATCGAGCTTCTTGGCTGCGTTTGTTGGGGTTTCGTCTTTTGCACGTGCTGGGCCTCTCGGGGCCTCCACGGGCCTCCAGGGGCCTCTGGAGGCCTCCAGGGGTTCTCCGGGGCCCCCACCCGCTGGGGAGGGAGGGCGGATAGAGAGGGGAGGGAGAGGAGGGGCAGGGAGGCAAGCCAGGTGCGCTCGCGCCATATCTGATATCAGATCCCCGCCCCCATCCCTGCTCATTGCTCTAATGCTTTCTTCTTCCGCGGGCGCGTGCCACAGTCGACCTGGAACTCCAAAGAAAAACCCATCATGTTATGCGAAATCGGACAGGGGGAGCAGAGTACACAGGAGCGCTGCCGCCAGGGGGCTCCGTGGCGGGCGAGGCTGGCGCCACCGAAGCCACAGACGTCGGGTTCGTCTTCGAGGAGGTCTGGCCCAGCGGCGTCGCGGCGGGCACCGCCCCGGTCGTCCACGGCATCGCCGAGGCCGAGCGGGTCGTCCATGAACGCAGCTCTGGCAGTGGCAGCGCCGAGCTCAAGCTGCGGATCGGGGGCCAACTGTGGGCCAGCCTGCCCGTCGAGCCCTGGTCACGCTCCGCTCTGGTGCACCCCGCGCGCCGGCGTGGTGCAAGCATCGTACGCGATCGAAGGTTGTTACATGTTGACCGCAGGGAGACGGGAGGGGGACAGGAAGGGCATGTAGAAAGAGAGGGACGAGGGAAGGGGAGAGGGGAACGGGAAAGTGACAAGTCGGCAGCCCTTCCTCCCAGCACTTCCCAGTGCGCCGAAGACGTCCTGCACGTCGGATCTCGACTTCTGCATGGCATCTGCTGTGCTTGACATGTCGCCTTCGGTTGCAATCGGCGAGGAGCCCGGCGTGGCCCCCGGGAGCGCGCGGGACGGCGGGTCGACCCTGGGCGGAAAGGCGTCGTCGAAACGATCGAGGCCCGCCGTGCGCGAAGCACGTTGTGCGTCGGCGGCTAGGCAGAGTAACTGCGCTGGCGGAAGCGCACTGACAACGGGATGCCGTTGAAGCGAATTGTGCCACGATGCAGGAAAATGGCCGTGGACGGAACAAACAAACTGAGGCGGAGGCCTCGAGCCCCCCACCATGATGCAGAGCAGGGGAGGGGAAGTGCAGCCAACCTGTCGAATAATCAGGATGCGCGGTAAGGAAATAAGGGTCTTGGAGGACCACGTGAACAGTTGTCGAGCGAGGTTGGCCAGCGAGATTTACCAAGGATGGGCCGAAGGGATAAGGATATAAGGGTAGCCTTGGAAACTCGCTCATCCTTACTATGCGGGTTGACTGTAAGAGAGGAAGGGAGGGGGAAGCGGGAGGTGGAGGTCATGAGCTGAGAGGGGGGCAGGGAGGAAGGAGGGAAGGACTGGGAGGAGGAGAGAGGCATGAGGAGCGAAGAGGAGAGCGGAAAGAGACGAATAGGCCCGAGTGTGGCGGGCTCCAATGCGAGACGCTCCGAGCGACCGAAGACGCTCCCAGTCGGAACAAGAAACAAGCAACAAGTGCGAGGGGCCACGCTGAGTGTAACAAGAACGGGAGAAAGTCCACGGCCAGGCCGCGGTCAGGGAAGAGACGAAACGGGAGCAGTGCTTCTAAGAGGAGGTGTAGCGAGGGTGTCATTTGGAACGACCCAGGACGCTACGGGCTGAGCAGCCACAGAAACACGAGGGGGAATCCTGGGACGAGAAGCCGTACGCAGGAGCGGCGGGTGAACGGACGGGCCTTGGCCAGGTCAAGGAGACACTGTAGAGGGGAGGGGGCGATGGGGAAGAATAGAAGGGAGGCGGGGGGATGGGAGGGGAGGGGAAAGGGAGGGGGAGGACGATGGCAGGGGGGACAGGGGAGATCCACCTGGAAGAGAGGAGAGGAGAGGAGGGGGGAGGGGGAGGGGGGAGGCCCAGCTCGGCCCGCTCGCAGCACGCCTGACCTCTCCCGCCGGTCCCTGACAATTGCGCACCCCGTCCCCTTCTGCTCGCGGAGTCGACGCGTCGACTGGGCCCTGGTGAAGGCATTTGCAGTATTTGGCCCCTCGTCGACTATACAGAAGGATGCGGGGTCAATGGGCCAGTGGGGCCAAGCGGCGCACAAGGAGGCCGGGCCGGGAGGAATCTCTACATTGTACAACCGCGACCCAACTAAAGAAGTCCCACGTCAAGCGACAGAGTGGGGCATAAACGCGACATCTATAATGTCGACCTGCGCGCCCAAAGCATCCCCATCCAGCCGAACATAGGCAAACTCGGGAGAAGGAGGGACAGGAGGAAGAGGAGAAGGAGGTTGGACAGGAAACTTAGCAAACTAGGGATCACTCCGCACAGTTTTGGAATTTCAAGCCGGAAGGGAGGAGGAACAGGAGGACGAGGACGACGACGAGGGAGAGGTAGACACGCAGGAGGATGATGAGGGCGGGGATGAGAACAAGGCAAGCGGCACACCGTACAGGCCGGCGAAGACGAAGCACGCCTTGTCCAGTGCCGCGCGGTTCAGGTCCATTGACAACGGCCTGTGCGCGGGAGGAGGAAGCCGCTTATAAGAGGCCGCTAGGCCCAACTCGCCTTCCCCCTCCCATTCCTCATACCGTACTGCTCCTCATCCTCTTCGTACGACGACAATGACTATAGCTTTTCACAGTCACACGGATGGAGAACGGCTCATGTTTCTGGCCCTCGCGCACGGTCGTCTTGCATTGCTGGATCCACAGGACTGACATATCTGCCAGGCAAATAAATGAAAATGGATGAGGACGGATCACTTTCAAATAGCGTTCCCGCCGAAGTCTCCTTACATCGTAAGATCGTGAGGCTTTGGACTTCAACAGCCACAGGGATGAAGAGGGGTCATTCCTCATGATCGCGATCTCGTTCTGGCGCCGCGCAGATTAGCCTGGAAGCTTCGCCGGGGATTCACGGGTGGTGGGCGGCTGTCTCACCAACCCAGTGCGCTTCGTTAAGATAAGCAACCGCTTGTAAGTATGATCGATGTGGCGATCGCGCTTCTCGGCGCGCATGCCCATGAGGCTATCACATTCCCTTGAAACGCTGACCGTCATGGAAGAAAAAACAGCTTGAGCCTGCGCAGGATGCGACTTGGGACCGGAGGGCTCTTTGCAGCACCGGTGGTGTGTGCTGGTCTTCTTCCTCCGCTGCAGTTGCACAATGCGCATCTTGGCTGTTCTGGTGCTGCATATGCGGGGGCGCCACCCTCCCACACAGTGCTTCTCACACGCAAGAGTTCGACACTCGTTGCTTCTGTGTACTTGCTTTGTTCCGTCGGACAAGCTTCTGGTCCTTCAAACATGGTGGCCCCGATGCAGCATTGGCGGCACTTCAGGGTCGCCACTGTGCTCCCGTCATTCATACGTGTGCTCTCGCCCCAGCGCGGCAATATTCTGGCTCTGATTCGCTCCTCGTCGTTGCCGTCCCCCTCCTACTCCCTCCTCCGCCGTCCCCTGGTTGTCCTGCTCTTCCCACTCCTCATGCTCCTACTGCTGCTGCTGCTCCTGCTGCTCCTCCTCCTTCACCTCCTCCTCCTCCTCCTCCTCCTCCTCCTCCTCCTCTTCATCCGCCTCCGCCTCCGCCTCGTCCAATGTACAATGTCCATTTTCTGGCTGAGCATCACACAGTGGGGTCACTGCGGGCGTCAAGGTCACTGTACACCCAAGCCGGCGAATAGGAAGAATTTTGAGCAATGGGAAGGAATGGGCTGAAGTGATATGATGTCAGGTATGGCGAGATCGCACCTAGCTTGCATTCTTCCCTCGCTCCACTCCCCCACTGCTCCCCGTATCCCGTGTTCCCCTCTCCTTCCACTCTCTTCATCCATGGCCTTTCCCCCTTGTCCCTATGCTCCCTCCTCCAAGCCTCTCCTTATATTCTCAACTCTCCTCTCCTGTTGGACTACACAAACCGGTGAATGTGAGTGCTGCCAACACTTTGTCCCCGCAGCGTGGCCGAGACTCGACCGCTGCCTGGGCCTCACACAGGGTAAAAGGAGGAGGAGGGGGAGGAGGACGAGGAGGAGGAGGAAGAGGAGGGGGAGGAGGAGGAGGAGGAGGAGGAAGAGGAGGAGGAGGAGGAGGAGGAGGAGGAGAAGGGGGAGGAGGAGGAGGAGGAGGAAGAGGCGGAGGGGGGGGGAAGAGGAGGAGGAGGAGGAGGAGGAGGAGGAGGAGGAAAGTGGAAGAAAAGAAGAGAGGATGAGACAACCGGCGGCCACTCACGCGCCCCTGGCCCCTGGTGGGCGGCAGCTGCCCGCTGGCGGGCTGCGCGGCGGGGCAGCTGGATGCGCGCGTCATCCGCCAAACGCACAGCACTGCCGAGGGCAGCCAGTCTCCGGCAAGCCCCCAGGTGGTGGCAGCAGTGAGAAAGCACGGCGCTGCACGGACAGGCAGTCTCCCCTGCGCAGGCACACGAAAGTCGCCTCAGTCGTCAGTCGAAAGAGCAAGGCCACACCAATTCACACCGAAGACGTCTCCCTTGGAAGGCACGGAGCGCAATGGCTTCGCGCCCTATAGCTGGCGGTACCTCATCCGAGGCCCGTTGCCAGACGAGTCCAGTATTAAAGGGTCCTGTGGGGAACGGGCTCTGAACCCTGTGGCGTTACCCAAGATCACCTCTTCATGCTGAGTCGAGCTTGACAGTCCTGGGAGTCCTGGGGCCATGGAATGGCCTGGAGAGCCCGACAGCGGCGGCAAAGCTCGAGGCCTCTCTCCCTCAGGATTCCTTTTCTCCGTGGTGACCTCCTTGCTCGCCCTGCTCAACCTCTCTGGAGGCGTCTGGTGCTCTCTGGAGGCCCCAGCAGGCCGCGATGCCCGACCCTCGACCCTCCCCCTCCTCCTCCTCCTCCTCCTCCTCCTCCTCCTCCTCCTCCTCCTCCTCCTCCTCCTGCTCCTGCTCCTGCTCCTGCTCCTGCTCCGCCTCCTCCTCCAACTCCTCCTCCTCCTCCTCCTCCTCCTCCTCCGCCTCCTCCTCCTCCTCCTCCTCCTCCTCCTCCTCCTCCTCCTCCTCCTCCTCCCCCTCCTCCTCCTCCTCCTCCTCCTCCTCCGCTCCTGGTCCCCCTACTCCACTCCCCCTCCCCTCCTCCTCCTCCTCCCCTCCTCCTCCTCCTCCTGGCTCCTCCTCCTCCTCCTTCTCCTCCCATCCTCCGCCTCCTCCTCTCTTCCTCCTCCTCCTCCTCCTCATCCTCTCCTCCTCCTCCTCCTCCTCCTCCTCCTCCCTCCTCCTCCTCCTCCTCCCCTCCTCCTCCTCCTCCCCCTCCCCCTCCTCCGCCTCCTCCTCCTCCTCCCACAGAAGTGGCGGGAGGCCCAGGGCCTCCACTCGGCCGACAGCCACACGTGGCCCGTGGCGCGCTGCTGGCCAGACTCGTCCATCAGCGGTAGCCTCTGCTCCGCCTGCCGCGGGAGGAAGAAGCGCGGGGGAGGAGGCGGAGGAGGAGGAGGAGGAGGAGGAGGAGGAGGAGGAGGAGGGGAGGAGGAGGAGGAGGAGGGGGAGGGGTAGGAGGAGGAGGAGGAGGAGGAGGAGAGGAGGAGGAGGAGAGGAGGGAGGAGAGAAGGAGGGGGGGAGGAGGAGGAGGAGGAGCGTAGAGGAGGGAGGAGGCGAGGAGGAGTGAGGAGGAGAAGGAGGAAGGAGACGAGGAGAAGGAGAGGAGGAGGAGGAGGAGGAGGAGGAGTGAGTGAGGGGGAGGAGGAGGGGGGGAGGAGGAGGGAGAGGAGGTGAGGCTGAGGAGGGAGGGGAGGCTGAGGAATGCGGGGGAGGAGGATGAGTGAGGAGGAGGAGGAGAGGAGGTGAGGCAGGCCGGAGGAAGCAGGTGGCAGAGGTAAGGAGGATGAGGACTGAGGAGTAGCACGAGGGGGGGAGTAGGCATGAGGGGGAGTAGGTCTAGGAGGGTTCAGAGGGGTGGGGGGGGAAGGATGCGGCGGATGATTGATGGGTCTGTGGTACATTTCGTATACTGACTTCTGCATTGGGGTTTTCCTGGTGGGTCGGTGTGTGTTGTTTTGTGGGGGGTTGTATTGTGGTGGGGATGCTACTTTTGGGGCTTTTCAGGTTGTGTGTTGGTGGGGCGGGCTTGTTTGTGGGGTAGAATGTAGCTGTTCGTAGGTGTTCTTATTCGTATTCTTTCTGTTTGATTTTTTTTGTTATTCTTTTCAACTCCCCCCTTCCGTCCTTACTTCTTCCTCCTCCACTGGCTCTCTCCCCTACCCCGACCCCCGTCCCCCCCGTTTGTCTTTTTATTTTTGGTTGGGCTCTTCCTTTTTTTGTCTTTTCCTATGTCTTTCCATCTCCTCCCCTGATTTATTTCTCTGTTGTCACTTCTTCTTTCCGAAGTAGTCGGCTGGTTCTTAGAAGGCGCTGGCCTCACATCTATAGAAAGGCCCGCGCCTTCTCAGAAGCATGGGTGCTTCTAACACGCCTCCCCCCATCCCCCGGCCCCCCCCCCTCTGCGCGTGGCCGATATTAGGGGGGCGAAGAAACGTGCACCTCTCGCGCTCTCTTTGGGCCCCAGATGGCCACTTTAGGGCCCCTAAGGTGCACCTTTCTCTACCCCCCAGTTATCGCCCCCCCCATGGCGCAACGCCCGACTGTGGGGATGGGGGAAGGGACAGACAGACCACGGGACCAGGCGCCCGCATGAGCTAGCGCGGTTCCGAATGAGCACGCGCGCACTCGCGGGCGAGAGCACAAACGGACGCACTTGCGCCAAGCTGGCATGGCAGTCCAGTGCAGCGCAGGAGCAGAAAACATCCCATAAGAAACCAAGCCATCCTCAACAGAGTTACCCATCGGACCGACGAAGCACGTGAACTAGGAAAACGTCTGACATAGATTGGACTTCCGCCCGCCCCCTGAAGAGGAGGCAAGCAGGAAAGCCGCTCGACTCTTGAAGCAGGAAGGCGCCTCACCTAAAGTAGATTGGGATCTGGATATCCAACAATACCTACAGTCGGGGCGTTGACCTACGGAACCCTAAATAAGGAACGAGGCCCCTTTTTGTTCCATAAGTTAACCTTCGATTTCCGAACGAAAACATAAGGAAAGCCTGAGGCAAGCTGTGAAACACTTAAGGAACACGGATCCCCTCCCCAACGAAAAGGGTTCCTTCTTCAGCGACCCGACGCTACATTCAACGACCAGCGTGCATTTGATCTTGGAATGGCTGGCAGGACCCACCTCTTGCCCAGGGTATTGGCCCCCGGGGATTCCGCAAGGACGCTCGGGGCACTAGCCCGAAAAGCCGCAACTCTCACGGCCAGTCTCCAATTGCACTGATCACACCTCCTGGAAATAGGGCAGAACTGCTGCAAGGATCTTCTATTTCTTCTTCCTCCTCCTCCTCCTCCCTCCCACCCTCCTCCTCCTCCCTCCCTCCTCCTCCTCCCTTCCCCCTCCTCCTCCTCCTCCTCCTCCTCCTCCTCCTCCTCCTCGTCGATCCTCGAGTCTCTCCTTTCCTCGTCCTCCTTCTCCTCCTCCTCCTCCTCCTCCTCCTCGGAAATCGCTCTTCAGACAGCGAGAGGCAGAGCACGCCCGCCTCGCCCCAAGATATCGCCGACGTAATCGGCAGATCGAGCATGCCCAAGAAATCGGACGAGCTAAACTGGTTCTCGTCGTAGAACAGGATTCGGATCCGCTGCTGCGTCAAAGAGGAGACGAGGATGGGCTCGGTGTGGTTGTACACCGGGACGGGAGGGCAGGGGACGTGGAGGCGGAGGGAGACTTGGTGGTGGGAAGGCGCAGGGAGGAGGACGGTGATGAAGAGGGGACGGACATGGAGACGGGAGGCGGAGGGGAGGAAGGGGACGGGAAGAGAGAGATCTAGGAAGAAAGGTAAAGGAACGAGGGGGGCGAGGACAGGAGGGACGGGAAACGGCGAGGGGCAAGGGGGGTAAAGAAAGAGAGAGAGAGAGGGAAAGAAGAGGGTGGCGGAAAACATTGAGCGGGGAGGACGCGGGTAGGAAGGGGGGGGGGAAGGAGAGGGGGAGGGAAAGGACAAGGGGGGGGCGAGAGCCATTGGGGAGGGGGAAGGGGAAGGTAGAAGAGGAGGGGTAGTCCTCGCTCTCTTCCACCTCTGCCCATGTCTTTCATACTGGTCATGTCTTCGCGTCTTCCTCATTCTTCTCCTGCCCACTCCCTTCACTCTCATCTTCTAACTCCGTCCCCTTAACCTTATCCCTGTTTGCTCGTCCCTCTCCCCACTATCTCCAGAACTCAAAAGAATCCAACGCTGTGCGACGAGGGAATCGCGAAGAAGGAGACTCATTAGGAGTCTCTCCAAATTAGTGGAGTGGGAGGGGCAGACGGGGACTGGGCGCGAGCAGCAACACCAGCAGCTCCTTCATACTGGGCAGCTTTGATCGCCTTGCTGGGCCCTTTGTGACAGGGATGATGGCCCCGCTTGATTCGATCCAGGACCTCCTTGCCTCTGGGGGCGGAGGGGGCAGAAGGCCAGGTCTTGGCTAAACGCACACTTTGATGTGCGTCGCACGGTCCCTACGACTCGAGCAAAAACAACAGCTTCCAGACCAGGAAGTTCACACAAATGATGCAATAGAGACCATGCTTTTATGATTCGCGGAAGCGCCCGCTGCTGGCCCCGTCAAGTCGCCCCCTCCCCCCCGGGTGCGTCACGATTCGCGCTGGCGCCGCTTGGGAATGTTGGCGGCGAGCGCGGGGGGGAAATGAGGAGGGGCGGGCCTTCCCCGAAGGCTCGGAAGTCCCCCGGCCATCTGAGAGATTGCCTGAGCCTTCCCCGGAGGCACAAACAACTTCTCAGAAGGCGCGAGGGGCTTCCGAAAAGTCCCGCCGCCTTTTGAGAAGGCCTTCTCCTTCTCACTTCCGCCCTCGCCCGCCGCCGGAAATTGGCCAATCCTGGGAAGCCCCAAACGGCGGCAGTGCGGATCGCGACGCCAGGGCGCGCCGCCCCCTGGCAGGGAGGGCGGAGGAGGGAGGGAGGGCGAGGGGGGAGGGAGGGAGGGAGGGAGGGAGGGAGGGAGGACGAGGGGGAAATGGGGGAGGGCAGCAAACGGAGGGAAGGAGGAGGAGGAGGAGCAGGAGGAGCAGGAGGAGGAGGAGGAGGAGGAGGAGGAGGAGCAGGAGGAGGAGGAGGAGGAGGAGGAGGAGGGAGGAGGTGAAGGATGGATGGGTGGGCCATCATCAAAGAGGCCCTGTCGGCCGTCTGCTAGCAGACGGCCGCCAGGGCCCCAGATGTCAGAAGGGTCCCGCGCCGCCGCGAGCACGTCACAAGACGCCTTGACGACGAGGGAAGAAACCCGAAGCAGCCCAGACAGGCATCCGTCCGACCCTGGCCTACCCCGAGGGCAAGCCAAGGGGAAGAAAGCCACCCCCGCGGGGACACGAGCGGGCATCCCCAGCAGCCACCAGCGGCCGCCCACACACCCCGACGGGGGAACGCAGCGGCCCCCCGAACCCACACCTGGCCAGCCTGGCATTCGCGGCGAGGCTAGCCCGTTTGGCCGCCTTCGCCTGCTCCAGCTCCCTGGCCACGGTGGCGAGCAGGGCCACGTGCCGCTCGCGGCCGCCGATGGCCCAGG